AAGGGTATGCAACTGATGATCTCCATGGGTATGCATGTAATTATCCCCATGGGTATACATGTAATAATCCCCATGGGTATGCATGTAATAATCCCCATGGGTATGTGTGCAATAATTTCCAAAGGTATACATGTAATAATTCCCATAGGTATGCATGCAATAATTCCCATAGTTATGCATGTAATAATCCCCATATGTATGCATGTAATAATCCCCATGGGTATGCATGTAATAATCCCCATATGTATGCATGTAATAATCCCCATAGGTATGCATGCAATAATCCCCATAGGTATGCATGCAATAATCCCATAGGTATACATGTAATAATCCACATAGGTATGCATGTAGTAATCCCCATGGGTATGCATGCAATAATTCCCATGTGTATGCATGTAATAACCCCATGGGTATGCATGTAATAATCCCCATAGGTATTCATGTAATAACCCCCATGGGTATGTATGTAATAATCCACATAGGTATGCATGTAATGATCCCCATGGGTATGCATGCAATAATCCCCACAGGTATGCAATAATCCCCATGGGTATGCAAGCAATAATCCCCATAGGTATGCATGTGGTAATTCCCATGGGTATGCATGCAATGATCCCCACAGGTATGCATGCAATGATCCCCACGGGTGTGCATGTAATGATCCCCACAGGTGTGCATGCAATAATGTGGGAACAGTCACATCCTCCCAACCATCTATAATAATCTGTAACACAGTACGCAGTGACGTCGGGTGTGGCTCTGTCACACACAGTCGCCTGCCAGCCAGGCTGGTACATCACGTCCATGACACGCACACTTCACAGTTCAGGAGCAGTTTGCAGGTGACGTGATGCAGAGCACACTCACTGCCCATAAAATGCCACCGGGCCCAGCCTCACAGGGGACGCGCGTGACCCGCACGACTGGCATCGTGGACGGAGATCTGTGCCATCCCGTGCCTCACCGACGGCGTCACACACGATCCGGTTCCGGCAGACACAGTGAGTGTGCGGGACGCATGAGCACGTGACATCCATGACGTCACAGAGCAGAACACAGGCCCGTGTCCCCCAGGCCACCCGCTCTGTGCTCCATCAGTTAGTGACCCTGGTCCAGCCTCTGCCGTCCAGGGTGGGAGCGACCTTGTCCTCTGGGAGCCTGGCACCGGGGACAGCCCCAGCACCCGCCCAGGGGACTGACTGTAGGAGAAGCCCAACTGTCACCAGGTGCAGATGGATGCATCTGCTCCTGATGGCGGCTGCCTCCGGCCAATCTTGTCCCATCTCTGCCTCCGTGAGCTCTGCAGCCCAGTCGCTTTATTGGTCAACCCTTCCGTCTGAGGCTGTCCCCGTGAAGCCATAAGGGGATGTCACTCTGAACGGCCAAGAAGCCGAGGCCACCCACCGGCGGAGGGATGGAAAGAGGACCGTTCATCTGTGGAGTGGAATAGTACTCAGCCAGGAAAACAGAGGCATTCCACACCGGTTCCATTGGAAAAGCGGATTCGGGGGTGACAGAAGCCGGGTCCCTAGCTGTCAGGGGGCTGAGGGGACAAAGGAAGAAGGGGGTTAACCGTGGCGCGGTTCAGGGTTGGCGTGAAAATCTTGTAGGGTGGATG